TTACCAGAGTGCTCTGACTAGGGGTCAGACATACAACAACTAAGACAGTAAAAGAAGAATTCTCTGACTTCTAGACTAAGCCATAAAACATTGACATAACCACTGAGTCCAAGTAGCTGAAGGGAAGCCATGAATTCAACAGACTAGGTTTGTTTATTCCATCTATAGCAGCCAGAGCTCTGGGGGAATAGCAGATAAAGACAATTGCAGTCTCGAGAAATTAAAGGTTTTCTGATAACTACAGCATTGCTTTATGAAATGCAAGATCCTGGGCTGGAGAGATAGCTCAATCCTTAAAGGCTAGTCTCACAACCAAAAGTAGGAATGCAAGATCCTAGTCCCTGGGAATACTTCACAGGGATACAAAAACTAAAAAGCAAAAAGCTCTAACATGATAGACCTCTTAAAAGAAACACTTGGTCAACATGACAGTCATTGGTGCTTTTCTTCAAAAGCTTGTTTGCTTAGCAACACTTCATGGCTGGAGTCTCATCAGACACTATCCTGCTGCTGCCTGCCTTGCCCAACCTTGCTTGTGGCATTTCTGGATCCTGTGATTCCTTCTTTCTGCTGTTGGGCCCGGGTTCTTTTCTCTCACCAGCGTAACAGATTAGCAGGTGGCTTTAAATATGCTCTGCCACTGTCTTGGTTTGTCTACCTTCTCATTTGACACCACAGTTGCAGGTAATAAGTACCATACCCCGGCTCATACTGGGACACAAAGGAAAGGATCCCAAACAAGGTAGAAACTAATTTAAAATCATTTCTAGGTTGATTTCCAACTCTTAAGGTTCTGTCAGGACTTGCTATCTTGGTTATTATTTTTTCAACTTGACACGAAGTGGAGTTTTCTTGAAACTGGGAACCTTAATTGAAAACTGGCCCCCATAAAATGGCCTATAGGCAAGTGTACAGGACATTTTCTCGATTAATGATTGATGTGAGGAGGCCCAGCCCACTGTGAACTGTGCTGTCCCTGGGAAGGTGGTCCTGGATTGCATAAGAAGGAAGGCTAAGCAAGCTATGGAGAGCAAGGCTGTAAGATTCCTCTGTGGCCTCTGATTCTGTTCCTACTCCCAGGTTCCTGCTTTGAGTTCCCTTCACGATGAATGGTGATGATGAGAGTAAGCCAAATAAACCCTTTCCTCTATGGGTTGCTTTAGATCGAAGTGTTTTATCACAGCAATAGAAATCTACTACACCAGAAGCGGGTCATCACTCTGGCAGACTTCTCCATTTTGTTTTAGGTAGCATTGTAGGAATGTTTAGAACCTAAGGCTGGGAAAGCCATACGCTCAGGGTTTAATGGGTTGTTCTGTAGTAGCCTGGAATATGAGAATGCTGAGAGAAGTGCAGGCAACAGAGGCCTGGTTTGTGGTACTTCTATGGGAAGTTTGAGAATCCCTGTAGATTCTATCAGAACTGTTTGTGTGATACGTTTGAATTAGGATTTCATGATTCTGATCATCTGGGGCTTAAGAGTCAGTTGTGATTACCAAGAAGCCAGCACCACCAGGACATTTCTCTCCAGTTTTTTGTCATCCTTCATTCTTAGACTTTCTTTCCCTTGTTAGCTAACATACACTCTCCTTCCCATGTAAAACTCTCAGAAGAGATGGAACCAGTTTCAAGAATATGGTACTAGTTGGATTTCCTACCTGAGCTCTTCCTCTTATTTCTCAACTCATAACTGGATTGCTTTTTGTTTTGTCTGAAGACAAGCATTTCTGCAAACAATGGATCCCTGCCTTAACCCTGCCCATGTATACCTTCCCAAGAGTCATATGTGGCTTCACAATCAATGTCCCATTGCAGCCATTTATGCCTTACCTGTAGTTCTCCAACAGAGAGCATTTTTCACAATTAGCTCTGCCTTCCCCAGGCCTCTCTAAACACTGAGTATTTCTTCCACATTTGCAGGAAAGGGAACCAGCTGTTTCTTCCATCAAAAGGGGAGCCTACTGCTTCTGATTAGAACATGTGTTTAAATGGCAGATCTAGGGTCTGTATGTAGAATCATGGAGCTCTGGACCCCATCAGGATCTTGGAATATATCTTTGGAGTACTGGAGATGGGCAAAGTGTGATGAGATAACACAAATCTGCTGTCATTACTTTCCAGAATACCTTTATTGGATATCAGCTTAGTCACTAGGATTCAGGAATTAGAATCCCAAGCCAAAATGGACCAACTCCTACACATGTGCTTGAGCTCTGGGAAGGAACTGGAGCTCACAATCTTTGTGCTGTCAGGAAATGAGACCAAAGCTCTGACAGACCACTTGCTAGATGAGAGTGTGGACACATCACTTCAGTTCTCCAGAATATCCACATGCCAGAAATGCTGGGAAGAAAATGTATGCCAAGAACCAGCACAGTGTCTGTTTTGTTCCGTATGCTGTCTCCCTGTTCTTTGATTTGCTTCCAGGATATTCTCCGTAGAATGTATGGGACAGTTACTCACCCATCATTTGTGGTGACTAGACCCCAGACATGGCCTCTCCAAAGATCATCCTAGTGAAGTTTCTGAGCTCTTTCCAACTGATCCTCATGCCTACCATGATAATCGTTGTGTATCTCATTGGACTACAAATATGAACTTTTGCTTTTTTGCTTCTCCATCCTTATTTTATTACTTTTCTTTTCCTTGTCATTTACTTCTCACTCTACGACTTTTTCTAGAACTCTAAGCTTCATTTAATTTCTTTCTTCATTCCATTTACCAGACATACTGAAGAATTCTCTAATGACTCAACCCATTTCTGGACAGTGTCTTCACCAGCAGCTTGCTCTCACCCACCAGGCTTATCACAGTCTCAAGTGTAAACCCCACCCCATCACTGTGATCTCTCTTTGACTAGGACACATCAGTTTGCACGGGTCTTAGAATAGAAAATATGAATGCCTGATTTATTTGGAAGCCCACATGTGATATCAATATTTAAATTTGGAATTTATCCTGGCATAGAATAGAAAAATATTAAGTAACAGGAAAACTAGGTTCCCCTATAGTGTGAGCCAGGTACAGAAAAGTTGGAAGGGCACAAACAGGACAAAGGTGGAGTCCATCTTTCCAGAGTTTCACTGGAGATCCAACTCTTTCTATTCTCTCAAAAGTACAAATGGCAATGGAGGTCATACGGCTTGAAATTCTAAGTTTGGATTATATGTCATCAAAGCCAGACTGTGTTCTCTTTTATGACCTGTCATGCATATTTCATGCGATTCTTAAAACTTCCTCTTTGTAAATGTGTTCTAGGCAAAAATTAAACTATTGAGATTATTTGTTACATTGGCCTAATTCAGCTATTGCAATGCTTAGAAAGTTCAGAGAAGGAATATACACATTTAATAAATAGAAAATATTTATTATGATACAGCGCCATCAAGATTATTTGACAAAAGGCAGTAACAAGCCAAAGGAAAACACTTTTACAAGAAGCAAAACACCTTGTATAAGCACATACATTACAGTGAAAATATTTTGCCCTTTAGGTACAGGGTATGTATGTGTACATCTCCAATTCTGAGCAATTATATGAGCTAATATTCTATTTATTCTGGAAAATTCATAATCATGTTAAGGGCAGGCATTCAGTAGTATTTTAATCAATGTTGAATGTGTTCACCAAATGTCTCAGATCAAAACTCCAGAACAAACTCACCCGTTCCAGCATTTGAATAGGAAGCATTGCCTCATCTATTCTGGCAAAAAGCAAAATAATAACAACAAAAAACCTGAATGCACAATCCCATAGTAATGAAGGCCATATGCTGGTACCTCAAGTTTAAAAGAACATAGGAAGCAATACGGGCTCTCCCACTGCTTTACAAACTTAGTAGAAGCCCATCTATTTATCATTGAACCATCTTTGTCATTGTGTTTTGTATTTTGAGTCTGTGTCTCTCTATTTAGGCTTGGAATTCACTGTGAAGTAAAGGTTGGACTCAAACTCATAGAGATGCACCTGACTGCCTCCCAAGTGCTGGGCTTCAAGACTTGTTCTACCATGTCTTGCTATCATGCTCTGCTCTGCACCATCTATTTTTTTTTCTCATTCTGTTTCTTCACAATGAAAACACAGAGCCTAACATTTCAATTCTTGAGGTCTTTGTAGCAAGGATGTTTAAAAATATTTTTTGAAAAGAAAGACAGAAGTTCTCGATAAGGAACTCACTAAACTGGGCAGTAGAATGTGGAACACTCAAGAAACAGAACTCTAACATAGGAGTTAATGTTAAATTCCAAACAAATGATGCTTTGGGTATTTAGAGATTCTAAGATGATGCTTTTTTGGCTGAGAAATCAGCAGCTTCAACACGATGAAAGCAAATTAAAATGACTGAACATAAGGTATAAACAAAGATATTCAAAGGGATCAGATTCATCTCAAATAATAGAAGAAATAAAAATAGCAAGAACAATCCTTTTCTTTGGGGTTGGAAAAGGCAGGGGTAAGATGGAGCAATTTGATGACATGTATATGGATATTACATAGTAGTAAACATGGGGATCATAAGGAAAAGATGCTAACGAAAACATAAAAGTAACACCTTTTTTAAAAAATGAATTGTGATTGACAAGCAAATAGTTGAGACACTCTGAATGGACTTGAGTATCATTTCACACTCGAAGACCATGAAACTCAAGTAGCTGTGGAAAAACTGTTTAAAAATATATCTGAAATACTCTTAAGTATTGCCTTTTCAGCCTTACATTTTAATAACAATGTGCACAAGTTTATAAAAATGTACTTTTTAGTGTCACTGTTTGTGACCTTTTATACAATGCACTTTCAAACTATTTCATTAATAACATTCTTGTATCGTAAAATATCTGAAAAATAAATCCCCACTTAGGAGGATTTCCATCACAGCAGCAAGTGAGAAACATCAGACCATAGACCCAACCTTCAAAGAGACACTGGTGACAGTGATGTAGGGAACGTCACTGGAACATAAAAATATTTATACTATATCCAAAAGACAATTTCCTAGTTGCATCTAGATTGACATTACATGGCACAAGTTTTATAATCACATGTATACAAGGAACACAGGAAAGACATTCAGTTGCTAGTTCCAGGGACTCCAGTGACAATAGGAAATAATTTAAACCAGTAATTGTTGCTATGAGTACACCATTAGGTCCAAAGATAGATTTGTTTCCATAGCACATGGGAAAAACTGTGGCACCACATTGTACTTATACTGAATCTCAGAAGTCCGACTGATTGGTATTATTTGCTACAGTAAATGGAAGGTGAATCTTGGCAACGTGGCTTGTCCTCGTTTGCTGAAGAGCATTGAAGAACCTGGTTGGCACAGCATAAGTGAGTTCACAAAACATCTCTGACACCCCTTATGTTCATCCTCCTTCCCAAAGTTATCAACACGTATGGAATCTACAAAGCTCATTCTGTTAATCTTGCTCAAGGACCTGTGGGGATCTATTGTCTTGCTTTTCAGATTTTTCCCCATAGCACTTCCAATATAGCTCATTTTGGTGATGATTTTGCTCATACTTTCATTTTCCCTAACCAGAGGGAATTACAGAAATTCAAGTTGTTACTGTGCCTTTACCCCAGGGTGTCTGCAGACTGGCACTGGATCACAACAATGAAAAGGGAACCTTATAAGATCAGTTCCTGGGTCTCCCTTAGTCCAGGAGTCTGCAGGCTTAGCACAGAGAAGGGCTTCTGCGATGGGAGCTGTTGTCCCAACAATGTCCCTACATCCTGTCCTGTCCTATCCATATCCACTCACCAGGAATGTTGTGAGATGAACAAATGATTCAGCTGACACCATGACAGGGGCCGCTCCGTTTCTAGCTTCACCAAGAGAGTGTGGGCAGATATATGTATGCACGATTGAGCAAAAGAAGAGATTATTTTTGTTGATTTTATTTTTACGTTTTATTATTTTTTCCCGATAAAAGTTACATACCATATGGAATTGTGCTTTGTCATAATTCCCTTTCTTCCTAGAGAAGGTTTTTGAATAATTCAAGAGTCACAATCCTGGCCCGGACCACTGTTCACTTGGCATCTTTCCTCTCCTTCTTTAAGGCAGCCGCCGCATTCTTTATCTTCTACAGACTGTGGTCCTCCATCTCCGAGCTTCTCCCAGCTTTCCACACCTTTCAAGAGGGGTTGACGTTCCTTGGCATTTCTGGGTTTTTCCATGCACACTTCCTCCCTACAGGGTGGAAGAGCTTTGCTTGTAGTCCCTCAGGATGACAGAGGCGTAGGTCACGTTTGGAGGGGTGCAGAGCACTGACTCAGACACTGGGGAGCTGGGTACAGAACTGCCAGAGGCCACCGAGTCTCGGAAAGGAGAAGGAGGCGTCAGGGCAGGCGAATCTTCAGGGGTTAGTTTGCTGGCTGCAGGCAGGTCCTCCTCCTCTTCCAGTTCGTCTTCCTCTGTGTTCCCTTCGCGCTCGTACACGAACTCCTGCAGGAGCTTGAACCTCTCACTGTCATCATCGTCATCCTCTCCGGGAGGGGAGATGGGCTCCTCTCGGAAGGTGCTCAGCTGCAGGGGCAACATCTGCAGGTGTTGCGGGGGAGGCGGGGGCGGATACAGCGAGCCCTGCCCCTTCCCCGGTGTCCCCGGGCCTGCCAGCACCGCGTGGAAGTCCGGGATCCCAGCTCCAAAGTTGGTGACCACGCCTTGCAGCTGGTCCATCAGGGATTTGGGCTGCTGCGTGGGTTGCTGAGGGGGTGGAGGCTGTTGCTGCTGCGGAAGAGGAGGAGGCAAGCCCTTGGGGATGACAGAATCCGCCAAGAACAGGGGAGTCTCCTCTGCGGTCAGGTGGGGTGGCAGGGGCGGCGTGGTGGCCACAGGTGGTCCACGTCTGTGCACCACCATTGAAGGGCTGCTGGGAGGGCTGAAGCGAGCCGAAGGGGTGTTGTCCTCTTCCTCCACATTGTAAAGGGTCTTGGTGCTGGCGTCTGAAAAGGTCAGGCTCTTGCCAGAGCCTTGGTAACTTTTAGTGAGGGGTTTGATCACGGCCGTTTGGTTGCAGGCCGTCTCGTTGGTCTTCACGTGCACAGAGAGGCGCTGCCACACATGCTGCCCTTTAGGCGCCTGTCTTCCACCTGGTTCAGACCATGACACAGACTTGCCGTTAGAACTATGAATAAAATAGAGATAGGTTTATTTGCACACGGATCCTGCACAGAGGTTAAAATACATCTGAATTCCTTCTACCCCAACGTTGTGTGATTCACCTGCAATGTCCACCTCCCTGCTCCCCCTTACAGTTAATGAAATACTGGTAACTTCAGCTACTGTAGACTGCCTCTGAAGAGGGACCCGGAACATTCTACTCATGCCAAGGAAAGAGGTGCTGACCCAATGAAATTTACCGATGAGAAAGACCAGTCTGTTGCGAAAACAGCTATCTCCTTTAGTTAAAGGAGGATTTCACAAAGCACGGCCCTTCACCACCATACATGTGCTAATAATGAGACAGTCCCCAATGCGGACAATTAATGAAATGGCTAACAAGTTAAAATGACCCTTCACTGCAAGACTGAATGATTACTGAACTACTGGAATAAAAATATTGGACACACACACACACACACACACACACACACACACACACACACGCTATGCAATTCACCTGCAACGTCCACCTCCCTGCTCCCCCCTACAGTTAAAAAAACACACACACACACACACACACACACACACACACACACACACACACACACACACACACTTGAGTTTCCCATAGAAAACACAGCGCAGAGATGTAGTCTTGGAGATGAGTTAAAATCTGCGTATAGCTACTATCCACTACTCATTCTGTGGTGTGGAATTTATGAACTAGAAGCACTCAGTTGCCCATTCTGATTTGTATTTCCCACGAACATAGGCATGACACTTGCATAAAGGAAGCAAAACCAGAAAACAAAAACAAAACAAAACAAAAGTGAGTGGAGAAGGGTTTCATAATTTCCCATTTTCTTTTTTTTTTTTCTTTTCTGTTACTCTTGTGGTAACACAACTCTTAGAACACTATTTCTGACACATACCATGTATGATCTTTTACATAAGGGTTCAGATTATCAGCTGTTAGTTAGGAGTTTCACCCTAAGAATATTCAAACAGGAGCACCAGAAAGAGAGATAATAGGAAAGGCTAACAAACATGATGTTCACAGCTTGCCTTAATCCCCCCTGCCAATTTTGATGTAAACAAGACAAGATTAACATTCTAACAAAACAGTGGTCACTATGACCAAGGACCATGCTTGGATCATTTTCCACTTATCTTTGCTAAAGGGGAATTCTAGAACACCATCATGCTTCCAGCCTTCACAGCATTCTTAAGAGCCCCCTCATGTATTGAAAATTTGCTTTGCAGAGAAGCAATGTTGAAGGGGGAAGGGACTCTTGAAGGTGATTAAATTTTGAGACTTCTGGCCTCATTAAAGGATGAAGACATTTCAGAATCATACCTTCATGGATTTCATGGGAGAGGCCTTTAAATAAAAATCAGCCCCTTCCCTCTTTGCTTCCTAGACACCATCAGGTGAGCAGCTTTGATCTGCCATGTGCCCTTTATCAAGATAGTTGCACCTTGGTGCAAGTTCAGAACTGGCAGAGCCAGGTGAACATGGGCTGAGATCTTTGAAACTGTGAGCTAAAATGAATCATCTCTCCATTCAGTTGACTTTCTCAGATACTTTGCCACAAGAACACAAAGCTAACACACCAACTTAATGTTGATTTAATCCCCATGAAATCCCAACAAACCAATCAAAGAGAAAGTCACCCGAGGAAGAAAATGCAAAATGTCCTATGGCAACCACAAATCTTATTCCTTCTTAATTATTGCAATAGTTCGGATCTTGGTTTGAGAGACTCTGATGATTTTCTATATAATTTTTTTAGTGGGTGATGACACCTTGCCATAGCAGTCTATTAATAAAAGCACTGCTAATACTTAAAAGAAGCCATTTTCTTCTGCGTTTTCCCCTTTTTTAGGAGTTTGCTTTTTCTTTATACCTATTAAAGCAACAGCAAAAGGAATACAAAAAGAACAAAGTTGTAACATTGACAGAAATTGTAAAGTGAACATTCTTTCTTAGGTAAAGGTCTGAAATAGATTGTCCCACATTGCAGTCTTTTGTCTAAAGGAGAAAAAAGGTAGAAAAAGATCACTAAAACGATGGTTTATTGCATCATTTTGAAAGACAAGAATGAAGGCTTGAAAACTTACATATGGTTTTTAGAATATTTGTGATGAGGGTAATGTTTGACATTTTATATTTATAACCTTAAGGTTATATAAATATAGGTTATATTTATAACCTATAAGGTTAAGTGAGCTTAAGAAATTGATATTAATTTTAAAGTCAGATATAAAAAGCTAAAAAATAGATATTATAACTAAAACTCTGATCTCATTGCTTGAGGGAAAAGGTAGTTTCCAACAAAACATTGCTTAGTCTCCCCCCAAAACTAGCTGCAAGGTATTCCTGCATTCCGGGAAAACCCTGAGATAGTGCCTCTTCTTACTCTACATCATCAGCTGCTTTTATTACTTCCCAGAGATTCATCCCAGGCCTCATTTTTTACTATACCCAAATATTAGCAGTATTGTTGATGATCAGGCAGGCAGCTATAATCACAATTTAGTTCTATTTTAATTGAACACAATTTTTGTTCTTCCGATGGAAGATTTTCACTATCACTGTTAAAATTAGCAGCATTCTTTCCCCTCTGAGTCTTGCTCTAAATTATCTGAAAAGTCCTGTTTAATTAGGAAACAGATATCATGCCCCAGGGCATTTGGTGGATTATAAAAATTAGACTAACCTTTCCCAAGGACAAAATAAATTGCTTCATAATAATCAGATGTAGTGGGGCAAACACATCATTGCATAGAGATCAAGGCATGGGTTATTAACTGCTCCTTCAAGATAAGTCACTTCTCATGCGTAGTCCAGAGACAATATGAAGAGTCTATGGATCTACATGCTCACTAAGCACTGCTTGTAGACTGAATGAATGAAATTTTATAGGAGAACATGTACTACTGTTTTTAAATGCTTGTGAATGGTATTGTGATTAACTACCATTAAACACAAAATGTAACTACATTCTGAGATGTTTTTATTATGTTCAGTAAACACTAGTCCAGGTAATTATAATCACTGATTCATATAAAGACCCAACCCTGAAGAAACTGGAAATTTATTGTTATTAAGAAGGGAAAATTACATAAACTTTAGGGCATTGTGAAAGATAAAATAGAATAGTGCTGTGACATAAAAGGTTTGTTTAAGTTCAGATAACTTTAATGTTTGGGCTTTGGCCACCAGCTTTTTGCTTCAATTGTTTACCCTTTTTGATTTCTTAATCTTAAGAAAGAGCTGGGGATTTAGCTCACAGGAGATAGAATGCCAAGTGTAAAAGAAGCCCTAGGTTTGATCTCTAGCACTGCATAAACCAGGTGTTGTGGTACATACCTGGAATCTCAGCATGAGGAAGTTGAGGCAGAAGAATCAGAATTTCAAGGGTGATCTTCAGCTACATGGCAAGTCCCAGGTCATCCTGGCTACATTGACTATGTCTCAAAAACAGGAGGCAGCAAACAGCAATCTGACTTACAAAACTCCATATAATTGTCTCAAAGCACTCTTCGTTTTAACTTTCAAAGACAGACCCTAGACCCCAAATAACCTCCTTCCTGAAGATAAAACGCTGTGGGTTAGGGCTAACTTACCTTGGGTAGCTAAATATATTTAATGATACTACAGTCACAGGAATGGTCAGTGGTGTAACCAACATACCTTGAGCCTCTCTGGTTGTCAGGCTATAAAATAATGGGCCTCCATAATAGTATTCCCCTAGGATCCCCTCCTTGGAAGTAGAAATGTCTGAAACCCCAGGAACTTTACAAGTTGTTAGGCAAGCTTGAAGAAGAGACATGGGTCTGAGCCAATGATAGGCAGAAGCAGACTTGGGCCTGATTGCTTAGCTCTGCATACCTCCTGCCGTCTATTTAAACCATATCCTTAAGATAGGACAATAATATATGGACTTGGGGAGTCACTGTATCCTTTTGTCTCTATCTTAATGCAGCTACATTGAATAAATCCCCTTCTCTTGCTTTCACTATTAAACTCTACTCTCTTTATGGGCTCATCCAGGACTAGTAGCCAAACCTGACTTGTTGGGGACACAGGTTATAACCCTAATCTGGTGAGAGTAGGACTATGGGAAGAGGAGATGAATAGGGAGAAGATGATCCTTCATTCTTTCATGCAAAACTAGCAGGCCTATGGCTGCAATCCTTGAGTCAACAGATTCAAGTTTTGCCTTGATTATTCTTCCATTAGGTTAAGTGTCACAACCCCTTAAACAAAAAAAGCAAAACAAAACAAAAAAAAAAAAACATATTTACAGCATTCTAAAGAATTGCTAGGAGTGGGTCATAAAAACAGATTACTGCACTGTTGGCATTCAGAGTGAGCCTGTCTGTTTTGTTTGGTTCTGTAAATACTGGTTACATCTGTCGAGGACATGCTCTCTGCTCCCTAAAGTAAGAACAGTGGGCTGGGGCTGGAGATAGCAGGATAGCATCCTGAAGAAGCAAGTGGCTGACAACAAGGCAAGTATCTGTTGCCAGGCTTCAGAGCTACAGAGCAGTATCCAGAGAGCCCCAGGCAAGACAAAATCTTCCCAAACAGAAGGGAGGGTCCTGCCTCAGGATGTGAGGGGGCAAGCATTTGTATCCTATATACCCACAAAACAGCTGACCTGAGCAAATGGGAACTCATGACCGCAGTCTGAGATATGGGGAACTGAACCAGGCCCCCTGAACTTGGGTGTCAGTTGGAGGCCTTCGAAGTCTATGAGGCCTCTGACAGTGGAACAGTGTTTATCCTTAGTGCATGAATGGGCTTTTGGAGCCCATTCCCTACGGAGGCATACTCTCTCAGCCTAGTTACATGGGGAAGGGCCTAGGCCCTGCCCCAAATGATGTGACAGAATTTGATTATCCCCTGGGCTTCACCCTTCCATGGGGTGTGGATGAGAGGTTGGTGGGAGGGGTGACATGGGAGGACAGGAGGGAGAGGGAACTGGGATTGGTATGTAAAATAAGATTGTTTTT